ATTAGTTGGATGAAAGGATGCATTCAATCTACTTGCTTCTCAATTCTTATCAATGGAGTCCCCCAAGGATTCTTTAAGGCTTCGAGAGGATTGAGACAATGATGTCCTCTATCCCTGCTGTTGTTCACCTTGATAACAGACTTACTAGACTTTCTCCTTAAATCCGCTTCAAAAGTAATTTGTTGAAAGGCTTTAGTAGGTAGAGAGAAGATTCGGATTTCTCATTTGTTTTATGCTGATGACACAATTCTCTTCCTAGAAGGTAAGGTTAAATAATTCAGAAATTTGAAGAAAATTCTCAAATGCTTTGAGGCTGTGGTGGGTTCAAGAGCCAATTTAGCCAAGAGCAGCATCGTAGGTATTCATGTTCCCCAAGATAAGTTGATCATCTTTAAAGAAATTCTTGGATGTAAGGTTGAGAAGTGGCCTATAACTTATCAGTTATCTCAGCCTTCGTTTGGGGGGGGGGGGTGATCCTTCTTCTACCTCCCTTTGGGCTCCGATGATTGAAAAATGTGAGGAAAGGTTGGATTCTTGAAAAAGAAATTCTCTCTCGAAAGGGGGCAGACTTACTCTCATCAAGTCTTCCCTATCCAGCCTGCCAATTTACTTCCTCTCCATCTTTAAAATGCCAGCCAAAGTGAGATATATTCTAGAAAAATTGCAGCTACTTCCTTTGGGAGGGAGGGGAAAAAAGGAACACCTAGTTAACTGGGAGATAGTTTGCAAACCGAATAAGGATGGAGGGTTAGACCTTGGACATTTGGAAGAAAGAAATGTTGCTCTTCTTGGGAAATGGTTATTCCGCTTCCCCTTGGAACAAGATAGTTTCTGGGCTTCCATAATAAGAAGTAATTAAGTAAATATGGAAGGAACAATAACAGGTGGGACAGCAACACTGTGACAAACAGATTTTCCTTTGCCAACCCCTGGAAAGGTATTATGCAAGTCCTTCCTTTCTTCTCCCTCTTATTAAGATTCAGAATTGGAACTGGTAGTTGTACCAGATTTTGGACTGATACTTGGTGGGGCTCCCAACCTCTCTCTGTCACCTATCCTAACCTCTTCAGTCTAGCTTTGGAAAGGAAATCTTAGTTTCTAATGTTCTCATCAGAGATAATCAAGGTTTGTCCTATAATTTCAACTTTCATAGAGCTTTAACTGATTTTGAAGCCCAAGAAGATTCCTCCCTTCTCTCCTTGAGTGAAGTTTTTCTCTCTAATCACCTCCCTGATAAACGTATTTGGTCTTTATCTCCCAATGGCCTATTTTCCTCTAAGTCCTTTTTCACCCACCTTACTTTGGGAACCCCTCCTACCTTCTTGGTCAGCAGAATTTGGCCTTGTGTGGTGCCTCTCAAAATTTCGTTCTTTATCTGGGAGGCAGTTTGGGAGCGCATTAACACTTGTGATCTGATCCAAAGAAAAAGATTAGGATATCGTTATCTTTCTCCTCATATCTGTATTATGTGTATGAAGGATGGTGAATCAGCTAGCCACTTGCTAATCAATTGTGAGGTGTCTCGTTCTCTGTTGCAATTCTTCCTTGATTTGGTATTCGGACATAGCTTCTATCGGGTTCCCCCAAATAAGGTTGCAAACTTTTTCAATCAGTGGCCTTGCAATCTGGGGTCTAGAGGTAAAATTTTTTGGAGAGCCTTAACTCATGTTGTTATGTGGTGTATCTGGGATGTTTTTGATAACAAGTTTGCGAGGACGGAAGCAATTAGAGAAAGAATTCTTGAGTGCACCTTTTCCTGGATCCTTTCCTCTGATCATTTCAAAGGTTTCAGATATGCTGATCTTGAAAGGATTTTAATAGAGATTATACAGTCCTCCACTGTTAGCAATCAAACAAGGCACCTCCTCACTCCCAGGCCTGAGTTAGATTATTTACTAAAGTTTGATGGCAGTTGTAGAGCAATCTCTGGCCAGATTCTGGCGGCTGGCATTGGGGGAGTGATTCTAAACAGAGAGGCTCAGTTATTTGGGCTTACAGTGATCCCGCTGGTGCAGTAGATGCTTCTGAAGTTGAACTCAGAGCATTAGTGATTGGTCTGAGAACTGCTAGATCTCTACAGCTTAACTCTATTCTCATTGAGGGAGATTCTTGGAATGCTATTAGCTGGGCCTCCCACCCAGACAAGGGCCCTTGGAGATTGGGCCACTTTCTCATTGAGATTTCTGAAGTTTTTTCTTCTCTGTTTTGCGAATTTAGATGGATTCCAAGGGAGCTGAACTCAATTGCGGATCATTTGGCTAAATCTGGGGTGGATAGAACCTTTTTGTATAGTGCAAACGCTTTGCCCCGTTAAGTGGGGTGTCTCTTAATAGGACTGTCTGTTTATTTTGTTTGTACATCCCCCTCCTTTTGCCCTTCTGATTAATATAATAGTTACTTTTTTCAAAAATAATTATTTTTTTTTCAAGTATACCTTTAAAAACATGTTGCTTTTGGTACTAACATTTGATACAAAAAGTGCATTCATCTTGTACATTAGCTATTCATTTATGTCAAATAAGACAGGAGATAGAAAAGAAATGTAATGTAGAAATTTCCTCAAGAACCCATGGAGTGTTAGACTCCAAAGTGTAATGTAGACTTTCAAGACTCTGAATCTTTTGGAGGAAAGGACCCAGACTAAGAAACAAAATACTCTGGAAGGTTCAAGGACTAAGACAATCATTATCCTTTCCTTAATTGTCAAGGCAACACTAGGTGACAAAGCGCCCGTGGAGAGTGGGCTACCTTGCTTAATCAGTTGGGTAAAGAGACATGGAGGTGAAACACAGTTGGGTAAAGAGAAGTGCTAACTCACTTGCAGATGGTCTAGCCAAGCAAGGGGTCAATAGGGGTTCTTTCTTTTGGGCTCATTTCTAAATCTGTATTTTTTGGTTTGTGCTGGTGGGGAGTTATGACAGTTTACCTCCCCCTGTATTGTAATTAACAATTTTTTATTAATGAATTTACCGTTATTGATAAAAAAAAAGACTTGAACTAATAAGAATTGATTTAAGTGCCCTTAATTTAATGATGGATATGACACTGAATACAATGGAATGACAAAACAGAGATGTGAATCAACCCAAAAGAAAGAGGATATTTTATTCTGAAAATAGAAGAAAAGAGAGAAGATAGCAGAAAAGAAGAGGAAGAAGAAGATGAGAAGGAGAAGAGAGTTTGATCAGTTCTCTCTCTTTTTTTCCTAGTCACTTTTTATTAATCTAATCGTAACAGTCATAATTACAAAGATGCCCTTAATGGGGCAGCTACCTCATAACACAACCAGTGTTTTAAAAGGCGTGGGAGGTGTACGCCTGGAGGCGCTCCCAGAACGCCCTGAGGCGTATGCCAGAGGTGCTGGCACCTCTGACGCGTACGCCTCAGGTGCAAGAGGCGTACGCCTCTTGTGCTTTTCTCATGAGGCGTGCTAGAGGCGTACGCCTCTTGCGCCTCATGCACATCTGATATGAAAATACAGAAAAAAAAAAAGAAAAAAAGGGAAGGGAAGGAAAGGAAAGGAAAAGAAAAGAAAAGGAAAGGAAAGAGAAGAAAAAAAGAGAAAAGGAAAGAAAAGAAAAGTAAGGGAAGGGAAGAAAAGATAAGGGGAAAGAAAATGGTTTGCCCCCTGTCCCTT